ACCATATTCTCAAATTACCAGAATATGCAAGTCCAGAAGTCTTTGCAAGATGTGCTTGATATGGGTTGGTCTGTACTTCCACCAACACACATTCTCTTTTCTAGCCATCATACCATATTGCAGGGAGGCTAAGAAAAGGCGTGTCACCAAACAGCAAACATCAGTAACAACTAATCTCTGAGCTGCTGCAGACTCCGCTTCCAGCCTCGGGTGAGGCACCCTCTCTCCCCCAGCTGGCTGTGTAACAAAGTTACAGTGACTTCCCTTCTCTTCATATTGCATACAAGTGTCCCTAATGCTTCCATATGGTTTGGTTCTGATGCTAAAATTTACTCTAATGATCCTCTAACTGTTTGAAAAACACCACAATTTTATAACCAACGTAAGCAAGCACTGAAGCCAAAAGAGGATACCACCTGCCTCATGCACTGCCTTACGCTGGAAGGTACATGCTGTAACCCGATGAGGAAACTGGTCCAATTTAGCTCCAACTTTAAAAACAAATACGGCTTTTGTATACAGGGGAGGAAGCTGGAAGAAAAAAAAAAAAAAAGAAAAAAAAACAGCCCTGAGTTGTGTGCATCCAAAGCCTTTCAGGGCCAATATTGGCTTCCAGGGGCCTGAGCTGATTGTGAAGCTGGCTTCAATTGCAGAAATGAATTCAAACTCAATTTATCCATCTTGTTCTTAAGTCACTATTAATACTTGGTGGTTGTTCTGAATAAAAATACAGCAGAACGTATCTTTGGCACAGAATTTTGCCAGGACTAAAATTTTATTTAAGCAATAGTGATCCTGCCAACTTAATTCTGATCCTTGAGGAAGAAGGCCCCTGAAGTACTTTAGACGAGTTCTAAACTAGTTCACAAACTACAATTAAAACCAAAGGATCTATTACCAATATCTTTAAGCTTTACCAGGGTACAGCATTCTCACTAATTAAAAAAAAAAAAAAAAAACACTCCTTCAGAAAAGTTGTCAAGAACATGTTCCTGCTCAGCTGGCTGAAAGACTGAGTCACAGCAGTTTGTAAAATAAAACAGATACCAGACTCCCAAGTCAAACTCTCCTGTCATCAAAAATTAAATTCTGAAAGTTAGTTATTGCTGCTTTTTTTTTTAATTCAGCAACATAAATAAAAAGAATCATATAAGGAAACTTGTTAAAATGTTTTCCCAAACATCTGATAAAGCATCAGAACCAAAAATTACAACTGTATAGATACACGTACAGCTATGTTGCATCTCCAATTAAAACAAGTTTCTTAAACAAACAAACAAAAAAAGCACTGTTACTAAATTTACGCAGTAAGTTTTTATCTAGTACTTCTAAGTTTAAAGATCTATCACTTATCTACAATTAATTTATGATAATATTGTAGAGCTTGAAAATGTGCCAAATGTATCAGAAATATTGACTTTGCACATACAGTTTTCATTCTGCAAACGACAGCAATAAATCCAATCTCAACAGAAGATAGTAGAAGTACTAAATTAATTCTTTTATTATTGCTCCCCTCTTACTAAGAGTTAATTAAGTCTATACACTTTACAATATCTCAAAAGCAGGCGTTATACCTAGAAAACAGGATATACTGTCAAGCAAGGCAAAGTTTTGCTCTGCCTAATAGCATCAGCATAGATTCTCAATCCCAAACTATTATTCTGATGGGCAGATCCACAAGAGCAGCTCCGCAGGGATCTTGCCTTAGAGGAAGATGCAGGATGCGGGGAAATCCTGTTCCTCCTCCTGTCCCTCTCAAGAGCAGCTGCCTTTGGAGGAAGGTCCAGGTAAATGCCTGCGCACTGTGCAGGTGCCCTGGCATCCGGCGCTTCCCCTTGGTGCGCTATGAGGGATGAGGGAAAAGCCCCAGCTGTTTGCTGAGCAAGGGCAGAGAGCATTTTCTCACCCATCTCTACATATATTCAGGGAACATACAATATTTACATTCTGGGAAGCCGTAATTTCATCCCCAAATTATTCTTACGTAGGGATTTTCTCAGAAGCGCAACAGAATAACAACAACAACAAAAGACTCGTCGCGCTGCACAACTGATGTCTGAAAAGGAGCCTTGCTGCTCCTAACTGAGCTCGTCCTGCCAGATACCGAAATGAAGTGACACTTCCGCAGCTAGGTGACTTCTCCCATCACGAAATTAATTATGTCACCGCTCTCCGGGGTCAACCCATCAAAAAGCATCTACGGAGCCCGGGTCAGAGGGAGTCAAAGGGAGTCAGAAAGGGGCACGGACCCTCTGCAGTGAGCGGCTGCCCGGGCCCGGGGGCACCCGGGCGACGGGGGGGTCGAAAAGAGAAGCAAGTTTTTAGCTCGGTCCTGTGGAGAGGGCGGCGGGGATTCCCGCGCGGGCCCTCCTGGCTGTCAGAAAGGCCCCCCCGAGCAACCCGGCCTGGGCCAGCCCGGCGCATCCAGGGGGCCGCGCACACAACAGGACAACGCAGGAAGCTCCGGGGGTTCGGGGGTCCCGGCGCGGCCCCCTCAGCCAGCCCTCCCCGTCACGTACCCCGACGGTCCCCCCGGCCCGGTACCTGGCTGCCGCCCCA